TAGTGATAGGGAAACGACATACGTAACAATGGGAAGTATAAAGTCGGGATGCCGGCATCTTTCGCACGTGTCAGACCATATGCGTTCTTCTTATTAGAAACCACTAACTCGATGCTCACTGGTAATTCATTGGCAGCAACCGCGTCTATCACCGCCTGTAAGTTACTTCCGGAACCGGATATCATAACCACGCATTTTTTATTGTTAATTCTCATCTTCGAGAGGTGCAACGAAGTAGAAAAACAAGTGCCTGACAGCTATTGATAACACACGCGTTCTCTATTATATATGAAAAATGTTTTAATTTAGAAGGCAATGAAAACATAGCCTTCAAATAGACGTTAAAGTTTGGAATATTTTTTTTTACAATTATTTATAATTGTCCATGCAACTACGAGAGTCACCCATCGGGTCCTCCCCCCCCCGCCTTTTTTTTGGGTCCCTCGAGGTTGTCCAAAACTTGCCTTGCCCTTGACCCACTCTACCACTAGTAGAGTGAGAGAAAAAAAATAGCCTGATCGCAGTGATCGGGCTATTGTCCGGAGATGGCCGTGCTTTGACGTCAGTGTTTAAGCACTATACTCGATGAAGTGCCTCGTGATAAACCGACAGTATTCACTTGAATGCAGATGCAAGCGCTTTTTTAAGCCTGAAATTTTGAGGCTACACTGACTATCGCTCCCTGGTGTTAGCTGGTCGGGAAATTGACACAAATGGAACAGGAGGGGGGAGCGTTGAAATCAGACACTCGACATCATAAACTGCGGTCAATGCCGTATATTATATTTTCGGTTGACTCAGTGTATTTTATTTTATGCACGTATGCGTCCGATTCGTTCTATGTTCTCAACTTTGAGCGGCGATTTACCTGAGAGTATTTTATTTTCAAGAACGTATGCGTCAGTTTCATTCTAAATTCTCTGCTTTAATCAGATGTGTACCTTGGACTTCTACCACGAGAAGCTGTGACGGCGAACAAAGAAAACTACAAACAGTGATCAAGTAATAGCAAACCAAGGCGGAAAGAAAAAAATATATCGTTCTCCAGCTATGGGGACCAGTACGTAGCAAGAGCGGATTTTGGTCCGCAAAAGTATAGAAACAAGCCCTTGGAGATCAAATCAATGACACTGACGGCCCGGGTTTACGCGGGAAGGACGGCAGCTGAGACGGTGGAAGCTGCAGGGCTTAAAGAATCCTCCTGGAAGTTCAGTCCCGACCCTTACACAGCCAAAATTGGTGTTTTGCCGGAAGCATCTGTAGCGTCTTTCCTCTCACGTGAGAACATTTACTTTATTGTGAGGTTTCGATTCTGTGGAGAACACCGATAACAGACCGAGGTGCAAAGCCGGCTAATTATAGGTATAGCAATATTATGATCCAACACTGTCAACTAGTACGAGCAGGAAGACGTAATGAAACGGTGTTGTGGTACGGCAGATAAACTGTACTCCATATGCATATGCTGTGACTGCTGAAAAGCTTGCTGAGAAAAGCCGCAGTTCGGTTCGGGAGAGTTGCTGGTATGCACATCGGACATCTGCTGGTAATAGCGATTGTTGGAGTCGAAACGACCAATCTTACGAGCTCCCTCTTCGTTCTGATACGCACACGAGTAAAAGGCATCCGCACAGGCAGAAGTGAGATCCATACTCTTGCGTTTTAAGCTCATCTTAGCGATCCGATGTGTATTTAAGTCGAGTTGTAAACGTACTTTATAATAACAGATGTGTTCGCTCAGCACACAACATAGAGGGGTTATATACACATGAAATATTTACATAAATATGTAAACTTATGCCCGTCTTCTCTCGCTCTAAAATACAGTTGCAGTTATAATCTCCCTTTTTCGCACTTTTTTATTATTAAAAAAGGGTTGTTGCTTTTCCGTTCTCAACTTCACTTTTTTTACTACATTATTTAATAAATACAGTTGTTGTTGTCAGTTGTATTTTACAGTCTTTTTTTAAGCTTTTTTTTGTTGATTTAAAAAAAAACGAAATCATATGTATATAAATACTTTTACATAATAAAATATTGGCAACGTTGAAGGGGACCCTTTTGTTGTCCGGTAAATATGTATGTACTGAGAAATTAGCATAGCATGTGCGTCATCGACTTTTGAGATAAAATGCAGCCCATATTCAGTACGAGCACTGAGAAACACTGAGAAGAGGGTAGGTTATTACCTATTTTGGTTTTGTTTTTATTTACAAAACAAAAAGAATAGAAAATGAACAGAAACCATAGCCCCTTGTTATTGTTTAGGAGGCTATGCAGAAACTCGTAAATCTTATTTTTCCCCGCAAGGGTATAAATCTTATAATGCGTGTATGTATTTAATTATTTTTCGAATATTCTTGTAGGGTAGTTCCCTGAACAATACATTTTGAACAACCAATAGAAAACCCGCTTAAGAAACGCTTGATCATTGGTGTGAAAAAAGCGATGACAGCCTAATATGTTGAATATTGTCACGACCCTCTACTCATCTACTAGAGAGAGAATATATATAAAATTGCCACTTCGGACGAATGTCCGAAGGAATACTGTTGTGATTTTTCCCGCGAAATATAATACACACAAAAGAGAGAGAAGTAAACACGAGGACGTAAAAAAAAATCTTATTTTTAATTTTTTTAATATACCGTTCTTACAAATATATTAGGCTAGGAGACAAGTCTCCTGGTTTGTGTGATTTCTAACCTCGCTATTTTTTTGTGTATGTGAATGAAGATATATCAGTAGCGATGCATAGGACAAAATTATGTATATATGTATGAATGTATGTATCTGTGTATATGTGTGAGTGTATATATGTGTCTATGCGTGGTGTGTGTATATATATTTGTGTCCGTACGTCTGAATGTATGTATATATGAATGTTTGTATGTATTTCAGTATTTCAGTATACATACATGCATGTATGTATGTATGCGAATATATATCCATGCATAGATGCATGTATGTATGTATTTATTTATTTATGCATGCAAATACATGCTTTCATACGCACGTATATGTGGA